GCTATCCCAAGTGTTCTATTTTGTCGAGGCCGTTAGTAACGCGCGTCACTCAACATCCATGTAGGTGCCACATCACCATACTTTAAACACGTGTCTGTTGTTGGCCATCATATGTAGAGCAAGCGCGAAAGGAAATTATGTGAACCAGCGTCCTTTAAGACACTTCGTGTACACATGTTTCTCCAGGTCACCACTAATTTACCACAGAAAGGTGAATGACGTTACAACTTCTCGTTGTGCAGATAACATAAGACGAAAAAGCGAAAGAAAAGGGGTATTATCTCGCTTAACGTCAATACATGACGTTTACCAAACACATGTATATTAAGCCTGTACGACGCTATTCACCCTGGTCCCCCAGAAGTGGTTGGTCCGAAAATTCTTTAACCCAAGGCCGCTGAGGATGCATGGAGATATTTCGAAGAGACTAGCTGCTGTTCTAGACTTCAATGGGCCTTTGGGGTTATTACTACTTGCCAGAATCGGGGTGTCGCTTGCGCAACATTGCGCGGGAAGAATGTTGAAATGATGCATCCATTGTTTTAGGAACGAATCATTCGGGATGCAAACCAGTAATGGAAAGTGACTGGAGATCACAAACACGATGGACGTTCCGAGCGAGATCGCGGCGAAACTGACGACCAGGAAATCCAGTATCAATGATACTTCTATATGCGTTGCTTTATCACCTCTTTTCAATTGTTTGTCAATATCAATAGACAGCGGTTCTGCATCAGACCCATCGTAAGCAACATTACGTGATTCCACAATTTTGGTGGATGTAACCAGCCGAACAGCAGCTAGTCGGGTTGGACTGTGTACATTCAGTAGATGTTGGGGCTTCATTATTACCCGCCATTCCATTTTACATCATCTGTGGTGTGTTATGATCAGTTTCCGTGAGGGTTTATCAGTTCTTACAACCGGTTCGTCCTTGGACAACTGTGCTTTACTGCGGTGTTTGCAAACCTACTTGCTGCAGATTGCCGCAAAATTTTACAAGGAACTTTGAATGCCCGATAGCATTTTTAGCTTTCTCCGGGTAGTAGGGAAGGAGGCGCAGAAACATGTTATTGTCCTCATAAAGTTTCTCACTTAAACCTGGTTGAAATGCTCACTAGATTACCACCAAAATTATCTGCTTCTACTTTTGGTAACTCCTAGGTGTATTTTGCGAAGATCGTAGATCTTTGGGAGCAGGTGTATGGGGAATATTGGTGAGCTTAGAAGGAATTACTTTAGCCCAATCCTATGCATAATTTAGCATCCAATCCTCTGTCAGGTGAGGCTGCAAAACGAAACCGGTCGTGGGTATTCGAAGGTTTTTCAACAACTTTTTGACTGGCCTCCCCCATAAAAGTACACTGCGATATCTCTTACTGAAACACAAGCAGCCTTTGTGCATCAAGCTCAGTTAATGAGTGTCATAAAAGGGAGGTCCAGCTGGGTTTAACTTGTTTCGCCCTCTTTCCATGGAACCCACACTGTTGCAAACTAAATGGGTGCGTTCATCGAATTGCCTGCAGTTTTGGTTCAGATGGGAACATAAAGTTGACAAAAACCCATGGACTGCGCCTAGCTGGTGAGCCACAAGAAAGATGAAGCTGGTCTTGGACTGTCGAAGAGCAACTAGCAACTAGTCAGCAAGTTTGCCATTAATAATCTCCTTCATGAAAATACACAAATATCTTTCGAGAGGGCAATTATTTCGGTCGCTCGCTATCTGAAAGCACTGTGTGCATAATTTAAAAATCGAGTGGCCAACACGAGCATAAAAATTGCAACAGGACCGGATTCAACTATTTGTACATGCATCCTCCTAAAGTTGATCAAAGGAATGTTCCTAACTATAAGTTTCAAGATACTACTTTGTGCCAAGACTCTCATTAATTAGCTTATCATCATTCTCGCTCTTCAGTGGATACCATTGGCATCTATTTCACCCCGTCACTTCAGGAAGGGATATAGAGCTCAAGTGTTACACCTGTTAAGCACTGACTACATTGATGCATTTGGTGGGCAGTCAGTTGGCTTTTACCGTAGAACTTCTCCAAGCCGAGGAGTGTTCAGAGCCCTGTCTGCTTTATCAATGGATATTATACAAATCCTATCTAATCCACAAGCTTTGATAGCCGCATCCCTGCCTCACTGCTGACGTTTATCCCGAGGTGTCTGTTCATCATTTGTTGCAACCAAGTCCTTTAAACACCTATCAGCTTCGAATATGACATACAAGGATCAAAACTGAACCTACAAACTATGCTGAACGAAGCTAATAGCTGGTCTAGTGAGCGCTCTCCTTCAGTTTCCTGGACTTCCAAGATGTCATCTGTTTCTTCGCATCCGACCAATGTTGCAGTTAAATAATTAATAGCTGGGAACCCATCATGGTTTTAGTGTCACCCTCGCGGAACCTCTTCGGTGAAATATTCGGGTGCAGCTGTGTCAAGAAACACCAAAAGGTTCCCTCATAAGTAAATGGTTTGTTAGCCCGCGAAAATGAAAATGCTTATTCCTCCTATACTTACCCCCTACACTAGCTATTCGTTTTCCCACTTCTTTCCTGCTCGCATTACCACCCAGCTGATTTATTCTTTCTCTCTCCTCTTCTCTGGACTCCTTGGTAAAGGTTATTACCCAATTTTCAGATTATCAAGACGCACTTCTAGATGCACTGGAATCCGGATAATTATCTTGGTTGATGTCACAGTAAGTAAACGCTTTGATGCCTGTTCCAAAATCAATCAACAGATTATCTCCCTGTGATTTTCAACCTCCTCACCAGTCACTCATTATAGCAAAAACTCGCACTCACTCAAGATATGGAATTTTACCGACCAGAATCTTTACTTGCTGTAACTCTATGGTGGCTTGATGAACTGGTTCCATTTAGTCCCACTGTCCAACTTAATAGTCAATCGTCTCCTACTGTTGTGAGGCATACATTGATTGGTATTTTGCGCATGATTTTCTAACAAATATCGAACACATATGATTTAAATGTGACACAGCTGCAAGTTCGTGTTAAATGTTCACATTCAGAGACATAAAGCCTCACTTAGTTTGATTCGATACTTGTGAAAAGATATACGATTTGCATTTTGGTCCAATGCGTACAGTGATCACCTATTTCAGGCGAGAGAAAACACTTCGTGAGGTGGGACTTGTTCTGGTAATGTGATAAAACTTGCATGTACAGATGTTTAATTGGAGTAAATACGCATTGATAAATCAGAATGATTATTCCTCTGAAGTGCGCCCGATGGAAAGATAGTGTGACGGTCGAAATGATCTGCCTTTCCTGTGGTTCTATTCAGGAATCTGGTGTGCTGCCTATGTCCGGTGATTTGCACACGCTGTATTCGATCAGACTGCTTGCCAAAATTCACTAACTAGTGTAACTGATAATCCCACATACACCGACAGTCTCAGATTCTACCCACAGCTAAATCAGTCATGACCCACGATGGTCTACGCATAGTTAGCAATCATTACATGCTGCGAAGCCGCGCTAAATCGACGTGTAATTTGAAAGAAAAGTATATTGATTTACTCTTTTGACTCCCAGAGCTAATTGTTGTTACGTACAACTATTTGTTGCATCTTGGTCAGCCTTTTCAGATGTGCATTGCACTTTGAGCTTTCAAAATTTAAAAAAAGTCGAGGATGCCAGAATGTTCGGCATACACCACCACCATTTTTAACTTTCCGTGGAAAGCAATCTTCTAGAACAAAAGATAGAATGGTTCCCTAAAACTTTCCCATCCACAAAACTAAAGTGACTAAGATTTGTCGTAGATCCAAAAATTTAGGAAGTCGATCGCCATCTCAGGTACGTTTCTGATGGTTATGAATTCGCCCATGGAGGAGAACCTCGTGCACACTATTCACAGGTAGTGTGGTTCGGACAATCAATCCAATGTAGTTTCTAATACGCAAGAGACAATAAAGAATCACACGTTATACACCTTGCCTTAGTAATCGAACCCTATACTTTTATAAAACGCAAGGCCAAAAAGTGTTCTTATGGTAGATTTCCCAAGGAAACACACAAATTGGATCCCAGCGCAGTCATGGAAAAACACTGACACGACTGCTGGTAAAAAAAGATCCAAAAATATGGAGCTTTTGTCCTGTAAGTGATAAAAGGATGAAGTGTGCTGTGCAGCCGATAACCATTGTTGAGGATAAGTAACAGTCCGCATCTCTCGAAACAACAGGGCATCTGAGACCCGCGACTTAACTGTTCGGCCACGAGTGAGCCACCGGCCTCTTTGATCAGTCATTTGTAGCCGAGCAGTTATTTTTTTTCACTAGCCGGCAGATCTCGGGTGAAGAGACTCACTGGAGTTACGTGCTACGTGCTTTGTTAATGATTCCTGATGTTGACTAAGCAGTTGGACAGCGTCTCTGGGCTTTTCAGCACAGCTTGGCTGCACTTACGGGCCGAAATCCACATCTAATTTCCCAAAGCTACTCAAATTAGCAACAATAGGTCTATCGGGTCTTTTGGATTGAAATATGATTGATGTCCCGTCGGTTGCTCCTCAGTTGCCATCAAAATCTGCAGTGATAATTTCTTTGACGATGAGGGCCATTTTCCTCTGCAAATCCACAAGGCGTTGTAGATATCGTTTCACAACCGGCCCGAAAAACCACTTTGGGAATGCAGCGCCTATTCCGTGAGTTTCGCGGATTTCGCGGATCCTGAACAGATCAGAAGACGCTCGTTTATCCAGGGTCACTTGCTGATGTGTTTCTGCTGACGGTAGTCTGTTCGACGCACTACGATAGCGCGAAGAAAACGGACCGCGACGTTTAGTAAGTTAAGGCGTTACCACCATTCTTTCATTGGTAGGTGTGCCATCAGCAATTCATTTCTCCATTGGCTAGCTTCGATAGGCCAATCAAAAGCAACAAGTGCTGTGACTGCATTGACAAATGTACATGTGACTTGCGCTCAGGCGCTAGCAACCCAGAAGTTTACCGAGGAGATGTAATAGGTTGCAAGTTTGCTTTGTGAAATAAATCAGTGGATTATCCATGTCGAAGGAGGGAAAATCTAACGACTTGTCACGTTCATGCCCCAATATATCAGAGATAGCCCTATCTGCACAAAAATTTTCAGATCAATTAACGCGAGTGGGCATCATATCACTAACGACCGGTGGGCCGCAAACAAATGGGTTAAAGCCTCAGGAACGTGTTCTGCCTGTTTCAACACCAGCTGTCCCTTCACTGGAGATATCCGACGCAAGCCGAACAGGAGAAAATTCACTTAGTAAGAAATGGAAGTGGTTACTAAAAAAGTACAAAAATAACAAATTCAAAGGCATAAACAAAAAACCCCCATCGGAATCAAGCAAGAGAAACGACGAGTATTCTATCGCTCATACTGATCTCTCATCAATCCTGTACAACCGGAATAACACTGGTCGAGCATCTGCAGATCCGAGCGTCTATATTGGTCGAGCAAGCAGAACGGTGAGTCTGAAAATTGTTTAACATCGTTACGTTATTTTCGGGTGAGTTTGTGGACTAAATGAAACTCTCCGACCAGTGCCGATCTACTAGATGGGTGCATCGAGGCTCAAACTTTGACAATAAACCCCTGCCTATCAGACTCTACATTGGTTAGTGATATACAAAGCAAAATGAATCCACCATAATTAGCCTAAAATAAGACACATAAGCATCTGAACGTTTACGTTTTAGATTTGCACGGGTGACTCATGGAGTGTTTAACGCAACTCTGGTAAGGAATGTTTGGTCTAACTGTGCACACTTCTCTATTGAAGGGTAGCATGATAGCACACTGACATAAAGTATATCAAATTAACTCATCCATTCGGAATGCAGCATGCAGTGAATCGTTGTCTGAATAATTGATCTAAGAGATTTACGACTGAATGGCGTTACTAACAGCGCGGAGGCGAAAATTGATAAATGAGCTTTCCGTATACGAGATGGATGGTTCTAAGTGGCGTGAGCAGGTTTGTCCGAAAGAATGACCTGTGGGCTGGTGAATAAGGCGTTCGGTGGACAGAAATCAAACATTCAATAAATAAGTAGATCACTTAGAGTTACGCAGTTTCTACTTGGTTCACCTCCAACTAATGAATCGAAAACGTGAAAATGGACATGAAGAAACTGGAAAATTGCTGGCTTATCGATTAATTTTGGTTCTGACCCATCTTCTTTTTGTGTGGATTAGCTTCTCCATTTTTACAGGAAGCACGAGTCTTTAGCGAATGAGTTGAGTAAAACGGAGCAGCCTACCGCAAGTATGGTATAACGTGAACATTCTGTAAGCTTTGGAATTGTATGGGAAACAAATGGAAACGGCTAACTTCAATAATTGATAGTTCACACGAAGACCACGACAAAACAAATTTACTTTATCTGGCCATTAAATAGTTGCATTACGTTAGTATGAAAACCAGAAACGTTACTAGTGAAATCTAGATTTAGATGCCAGGTTAGCTGTTGAGGATATGACTTCATTATTGTTATCCAATGTACTTGATCATAATACAAATTTCCTGGTGTGATTAATGTGTGGAATGTTAGATGTTTGTCAGTCAACAATGTGTTCGGAGGCTTCAAAATGGATTAGAAATTTTCCCAGAACTCCCTTTTAGGATGAGAAGAAAATGGACTGACGAACGTGATTTCGACAGGGTCTTTTCAGTTCATCCGGCTGCAAAGGCTAACGCAATCAAATTATTGCGGTGTACATTATCAGGAAGCTTAGTGTTATAGCCAAACGTATCTTTGAGTGACACGGTTGGAGCTGGGTTTCTAAGGTACTATCAATGTAAAACAAAGTCACAAAATATGCAAACATCGACAATAGATTCTAGTCCACAACAAATGGTCCACTTGAACTATAAATGTACAAACCAAATGAGCAAAACAGGCTCAAGCATGAGACAGTCACACGTGCATTGGGCCGGCCGCAAAATGGCTAGATTCCCTCAGGACCAAATGAGTGAAGTGGCTGGAACAAGCAAACGCCAGTTCCTACACCCATACACACACACTAAACACAAAGGTGAGTGGGGTTTGCCAGTAGGGGCGTAAGAAACGGAGAAATTTGAATGTCAAGACGATGGACGATACAATCCTCTTAGTTCCAGAATCTAGCCAGGGTGGAATGTGATGTTTGTCGTGACAAAGCAGTAAATTGAATCGTTTGGGGAAAAACAGCCCATCCGGAATTTTCGTAAATTTCGGGAGGACGATCTTATCCACGGAGCGCACAGCCTATTTCTGGATTGGGCTCTTAGTTACCTGGATTCTCTCCCGATGAACATCAACAAACCATTGATGGAATATTTCCTGTTTTACCAATAGGGCCTCTATTGGGCCTCTACGGAAATTCTGATACTGATTGTCCAGCGCAGTGCGTCAAATCTGAAAATCGCTAAGTACCTCTCAAGTTGGTCTGTCCATTTCTATATGGGTTGTTGCACAGATGCAAACAATTGAACGTAGACCGATGGAACTATGGAGCTCTCATGAGACGAACTATAGAGAATTCCGATCATTTATCATGTCAACTTGTTCTGATGGGTAGGGCCTATTTGGCTTCATTTATTGTAATAATACTGATATAATATAGTATAGTAAAAAGACAAATTACCAAGAACGCGATCTTTTTATCGCCTTTTTTAGTTAAACTACAGAACGGCATATGTAGTGGAATTGTAAGACAACATAGGTAGGCGCTGATCGATTTTTGAAGTGTTAGTGATTTACCTCATAATTTAAGTGAACACTTTTCGTTCATGTGTTTGCTTCATCATCCAGGACTGGTCTCTGGTGTGTTCGCTGAGCTATTTGATTTAAAAGGTTCATCTATAACCGAGATGACATCATCAATGTCATTTTGAGGATGGAGTGGAGCTTATCGGTGGTTCAGTGATTGTGCGAGTTATCCAGAAATATTACACCAAAGCCTGAAATCCGCACGATTACAACTGGGACTAGCTAAAATGGTGGTACATTCTGGTTAGCGACCCCATTCACCACCATGTATCGACGCCACCGTTGTAAAATCTGATAGTCTGTTAGAACTTGGGACCCCCAAAAAACAGATATGAATATGTCCAATTGCTTTTAGTTTTTCTGGTTAGCCAAGGCATGTAAGTCAATAAAACTGTATTGCTTGTGACCGCCATGCCTCCTTCGGTTTCTGTGGTCATAAAATTCAATAAACTCCTTCTGAGATTTGAATTTTCATAGTACGGGGAGATTGCACAAGTTCCGTAGATGGTCCACAGCTGGTTCTAATCCGTTTGGGGCTTATCAGATAGGAGTAGCCCCCGAGGGTGAGATCAACCCTCAGCTTGAGTGGCATACTAACCGTAAATATCATTTTTCACACAATGTATTCCATAAACTTGTGAATTTCATAGATGTCCTGGCAATGGGTGCCTTAGGCAGCCTGTTCCCTGCCTAAGATGCTGGAGATTATTGACAGTATATCGAAAAAGAAGGACTTTCCATAACTTTTATGACTTTCTAGTCATGGAAACAGTCCATATTTGAAATAAAATACCTAAAATACATAAACAACGATTTTACTTTCAAGTTTCAGAGTGATTGTCGTGTTTTTGAAAGACTACATTTATCTGAAAGATCCTTAAATCTACCAATATGAATTTCGACGGATTTTTAGCCCTCCTCGGACGGTACACATCTCTCGAATCTTAATGAACACAAATTCATTCGATCATGATTGCTTTATGTAGCGGCAATCCTTATTGAAGAGATAGCCTCTAAACATAAGATCCATTTCATTTCTCATGAAACGCTTTGTTTTAAGGCTTTTTATACATCTATACATACATTTTACTTCAAATGTATTTGGTGACCTAGTATTTCGTGCCGTCTCAACCGTGCATTCACTGTCCGCTGCATTAGATCAGGTAAATCAAGTGGACTAACAGTCGACAGATGTTCCACTACGCGTTCTGTAATTCCATCCGATAAGCCGAAAGTTGGAACTCTGGCTGTATATACACTAGTGACGACAGAAACCAAGTGTGCATATCAGGTGATCTCCAAACGCTCATTGAAGGACTGCGACCCCGCATAGTAGCTATGTAAAATGTTTTCTTCAGGACTACACTCAACCACAAATCAGACAAACAAATACAATACACTCAAAAGCGATTCCAAACAATTCGAATAGACTTTTGACTTGTATTCTGGAGATGCTCGTACCAGGCCTCATTTTCACCAAATCTGATTAGCCCAGTTATTCAGTAGTGAATAAGTAGCTCACCAGGACAAGCTGTAGTGATTTGTCTCGTTTATAGATGCTAACGCAAGCCTTCAATAGATAAGTGGTAGCCATCATCAACAAATACATATGAATCCTCATTTTATCAGTTTATACCAAGCAAGGACATCCACCTTGGCTTCAGAAAGACAACCTGGTGTTTCCAATACGATGCTTTGAGAAAAATTTTCGAACGTTTCTGGCAGGGGTCTTCGGGTTTCGCAATAGAATTTTGAAGACAACGTAATGTGAAGTAAATATATCTCAGAAGGCGTTCGCCTCTTAACATGGAATAACCTGGAAACCGCAAATCAACATTCATCCATTTTCATATGAATACTGAGACAGTGCACCTGCAAGGCTCGAAAAAGTGCCAGAAATTGTGTACACGACAAATGTATCAATACGAAGGCTCTAAGTGCAAGACAATGTAACTCCCAACCAAAAATTTCAAATTTCTTTATTGGCTAGCCAGTCTGCCAATTTCATAAGACCAAAGTCTTAAAGCAATTGTTTTTTTTTCAACTGAACCGTGTCAGGTAGTGAGACAGCGACAATATAAGATCCCATGGGAAAGTTAATGCTTGGAGGTTGGCATTTGTCAATTTGTTTGGCTTCCTAAAGCACTTTACTGTACGCCGTAAAAAATTACCGGGTTTTGAAATTTCAGTTTGGGATGTCATTGAAGAGGCTTATTTCTATGTGGAATTTTACAACTCTGATTTTCTTATACGGGGTCGTCAGCGCTGCAGCAGCTTGAAGACCAGAGGTTTTACTATTTGGATCGTATAAAATCATTAGCCCTTGGCCATCAATATCTGAAAGCCATTATAAGCATCCCTCGTAAACCTTGCACAGATGCAGACCACAGTATATGTCCTTTAACAGAATGAACACTGGTGTGTCACTTTTCTGGTAGCTACTAGTTGCTCACTGACTGCCGTCCACTATCAAGTAATAAACTCTACTTCTTGCAACAGAAACGCCACAAATCGCGCAGTACAGTTTAATCTAAGACGAGCTTATAAGTCAGAAATTCGCCCACTGCCGATATCTGAATATGAGTTATGTTCAATGATAAATTCAGTTCAAAACAGCCACACATGTGGCACTTTTCAGCAATCTTGGAGATATCTGCTTATTGATGAAACAAGCGAGGAAATGCCTGTGTTAAGTACGTGATTGGATTCCGAAA